TCCACGTCCCACCAATGCTGTGTCTCCATCTCACACTGCCCCACGTCACATCAGTGCCACATCCCCGTGTCCCTAAGGCACACGGACGCCACACCCTCACGTCACACCAACATCACGCCCCCACCCCGCTGACACCTCGTCCCCATTTCACACCGGTGCCGCATCCCCGCGTCCCCCCATCCCCCACCTTGGGCCGCACAGGCCCGGCTCCGTGCTCCAGCAGCAGCGCAATGATGCTCTCGGGGCGGTGCCGGCGGTACTCCGGGACGGCTCTCAGCGCGCAGTCCATGGGGGTGTCCCCAGCTCCGTTGGTCGCCGTGGGATCGGCGCCGTGCCGCAGCAGCAGCCGTGCCAGAGCGTGCTGCGCGTTCCCGCAGGCGTTGTGGAGGGGAGTGTGGCCTTTCCGCCCCGCGGCCCCGGGATCCGCTCCGGCCGCCAGCAGCCGTTCGGCTACCAGGCAATACGCGGGGGCGTCGCGGGGCCGCTCGGCTCCGGAGCAGGCGGCGTTCAGGGGGGTTTCGCCCTGGCGGCTGCGCAGCGCGGGGTCGGCGCCGTGCCGCAGGTACAGCCCCACGTGCTCCGCCAAGCCCCGCCCCGCGGCCACGTGCAGCGCCGTCAGTGCGCGCTCCCGCGTCGCCAGGTTCACCCGGGCGCCGTGGGCCAACAGCAGCTCCGCGCACCTGCGGGGACGGCGTGGGGCCGCTGTGAGACCCCCGGATCCCGGACCGGACCCCCAAAACCCCCACCGGGCCGGGGATCGCCGGCGGGCGCGGGGCGAGTGGGCGTGGCTTTGCGATGGGCGTGCGCTGTTTGGGGGCGTGGCTTGCTGCGGGCAGCCAATGGGAATTGGGGCGGGAGGCGGAGCCCGGCATGCAAGCGGGGAAGTCAGAGGTGGGCGTGGCTTTGGTGGAAGGCGGTGCGGCGGGTGGGCGGGGCCAGCGGGTGGGCGGAGCCTAATGGTCAGAGCCGCCCCGGGGCGCAGGTGTGAGCGGGATATGCAGATCGAGGGGGCGGGGCCTATCGGCAAAGCGTGGGCGGGGCTTAGCGCGCAGATCGAGTGGGTGGTGCGGAGGAGGGGCGGGGCGCCGCATGCAGATGAAGGGGGCGGGGTTTGTCGCGGAAGGGGGCGGGGCTGGGCGCGGAGGGGGCGGGGCGTACTGCAGGCTGTCGGGCGCCGTGCAGAGGTGCAGCGGAGCGCTGCCGTCCGAGCTGAGCAGGTTGGGGTCGGCGCCGAAGGACAGCAGCAGGCGGGCGCTTGAGGGTCGGGGGGCGGCCACGCTGTCGTGCAGAGCCCCCCGCCCACCCACCACGGCGTCCACCTCCGCCCCGCACAGCAGCAGGTGCCGGGCGCACTCCTCGTAACCGCGGGCGGCCGCGATGCGCAGCGCCGATGTCTGCTGGGTGCGGGGGCTCAGAACCCACAGCCCTGCGGGGAGGGGCGGTGAGACCCCCATCACCACGGCAGCCCCCCCCC